GCTTGCAGACAGGAGCTTGACAGAGTTGTCCTCTTAGATACTCTATCCAGCAGTGCCTCAAAACAGATGCTGAGACTCATAGCCAAACATTGGGCGACGCTTAGGGAGCCTTGTGGAGAAATAGGAGGAAAGAAAAAAGGACTTGGAGGTGACAGGAGCTCCACAAAAAGACTAACAGGGCCAACTAACCAGGGCCCAGAGCAGCCTGTGGAAACTGAATAACCAACCAAGGCCCATGTATGGACTGGACATGGCCCCCTACAAAGACATAGCATATGGAAAGCTTAGGTTTCATATGGGTGGCCTAGTAAGGGAGGTGGGTACTGCATTGGACAAGGACTCACTTGCCAGCTTTTGATCACTCTCCATGCTAGGTCCTCATGCTGGGGTGGGTGGGAAAGGAAGCTCCCCTTTTCTGAGGAATAGGTGAGAAAGGAAGGAAAAGGTTGGGGTAGGGTGGAGAAGGAAAGTGGGACTGGGAGGGGAAGAGGGTTGGGGCTACAGCCAGGATGTAAAAGGAATAAAAAATAATTTAAAAAAGAGCCTATATTGGGCCCGGTCTCTCTCACTCTGTCTCCAACTTATGGATAAGATGTAAGCCCTCAGCTACTGCTCCACAGCCATGCCTGTCTGTCTGCCGCCATGCTCCCCACCATGATGGTCATAGACTTACTCTCTGAAACTCTAGCAAGCCACCAATTAAACTGTTTCTTTTATAAATAGCTTTGGCCATAGTATGTCTTTACAGCAACAGAAAAGTAACTGAGACAGCCTTATGCAAATTATTATTTAGCAAGTTATTAATATTCAAGAATAAGTGGGCTCTGGGATGGCCCAAAGGGTAAAGATGATGCTCTGCAAACCTGATGACCTGAACTTGGTCCTAAGAATCCACCATATAAGAAAAGAACTGGCTTCTAAAATTGTCCTCTGACTTCACATGTACCCTGTGGTATGTCTGCGCATGCACATGCATGCACACACACACACACCACACACCACACACACACACACACACAAACATAAAACAATTAAAATATTTTTAAAAGGTAACCAATTTTTCACCACTTTTTTTTTCTTGGTGACCTCAGCAAGTACCATCTCTAAGACTGTATCTACATAAAGCTCTAAGAATGAGAAATATCCATTTTGGTGACATGTATCACAAGTATCAGATTATGCCAGTGCCAATTCCACATAGTAATTGAGAAATCTACACAACTATTCTTTGCTATCCTGTCTAACTAACTCAGTCATTGGCCAGTAAAACAAGCCTTCCAACAAATGTTTTGGCAAAACTTGAGGAGCACAAGTCAGAAAACCCACTCTAGAAAATAGACATATTTCATTCTGTTTAACTTAAATAGAAGTCAACAGTGTTTTTTTTTTGTTTTTGTTTTGCTTTTTTTTTTTTTTTTTTTTGAGGCCGTCTTTACTGGAATCTGTGTAAAATAATTCACAATTCAAGTAAAAATAGAAAAAAAAATCTGATCTTGAAACAATCCCTTAGGTAAGCTGGGCAGAGCTAAGAATTCCTGACTTTGTGCTATGTGAAAACAATGAGATGGCAGGAATGTCTCCCTGCCAAGCTAGTTCTTAGACTGTCAAACAACAAAACAGCTTCCACTCTGGCAATCATAGGGTAGCATTAGAGCCTTTCATAAGGAAGATGTGGGCGTGTGATGTGCCAATGAAAACACAGTATGTTACTAATGTACTAGAAACTGAAGACAGGTGAGACTTTATGGTTTTGTCTTTAAACAAACCAATGTAAACACAAAGTTGAAAGGTTGCACTTTAAGTATGATCATTTCATACACTCATACTTAAATTGTTATACTGGAAGTGGTTTCTTTTTATCATAAAGGTTTAACTTTACTTAGGCCAGTTATTTAATATGATCTTTTTAATTTAACACTTTAAAAAATGTGGTAGGGCCAGTGAGCTGGCTCAGTGGGTAAAAACATTTGCTGTGGAAGGAAGCCAGTCTGAGTTTAATCCCGAAGCCCCAACAGGGTTAGAAGAGAACAGACTCCCAAAAATTGCCCTCTGATTGCTACACATGAACCATGGCGTGTATGTGGCATGTGTCACATGTACATACACACATGTATGAATTATTAAAAATGTAAGAAATGTATACAGTTTATTTATGTCCTAGAAGTATCTTCATTTTAAGGAAAAATAATGAATTTATTAGAATATTTAGTATACTTTGTAATTTAAATTAAAAAAACTTTTTTGAAAATCTTTACAAAAAGAAGAGGCTGTGAAATGGTCTGGCAGTTCAGAGCACTTACTGCTGTACAGAGGAGCAGAGTTTGCATTCCAGCATCCACATGAGGTGGAGCCAAACCTATAACTCCAGCTCCAAAGGATATGATGCCTGCTTCTAGCTTCCAGTAGAACCCATATACATGCAGACAGGCATAAATAAAATAAACCTTAAAAAAAAAAAACCAATGCTGGGAAGGATGTGGACAAAAGGGCACCCTTACACATTGCTGGTGGGTAACCTAGTATAGTCACTATTAAAATCAGCATACAGTTTTTTCAGATAACCAAAAATGGATCTTCCAAGATGACCAGCTGAAGTATCCTACAGACTTACCCAAAGAACTCGCATCAACACATTATAGAGATAATTCTACATCAATTTTTATTATAGCAGTATTCAAAACAGCTAAGTTATAGAACCAACCTTGGTTAAAGAAAATGTGTTATATATAAACTGGTTATCCAATACTAAATAGTCAGCCCTGAAAACATACATACAAGTAACATTATCTAGACTGAGCATATTATGAATATATATTTATGAATATTATAGATTTTATTATATATGATATTACATTATAGATTTATGAATATTATAATATATTTATGAATATAGATGTATGTATATACATATGTGAATGTAACAACATTAATGAAAAAGAAAGCTATTTATTTGAAAGAGAGCAAGGAGGCATATATGGGAGGATTTGGAGGGGGAAATGAAAGGGAGAAATGACAGATTTAAATTATGACGTCAAAAATAAAAGAAAAATTATACTTACAACGTCTAAAAAAAGAGTATAGTACATAAATAATGGAATTAGTTTTCAACATGAAAAATAATGAAGTCATGTCATTTATAGAAAAAGATGCAACTGGAGAGAATTAATTAGGCCAACATCAGAAGGACTCTATACTGATACATAAAATCATGTATATGGTGACATGAAAATAAAGCAAAACTGTCCACGGGATCAATGGGAGGAGGAGTAGGTGAGAAAGTAGAGAACTGGAAGGTAGGAGGGGTGAAACACGTTCACTATGTATATAACACAGTACTACACATAAAGAATATACACAATAAAAATTTAAAAATAAAAAAAATATAAAAGGAACTTAAATTCAGCTCAGAGCAATGGATGAACTGTTCCTAGGCATGTATACAGGCACAACAAGAATCACAGGTTTCTCCAGGTGTGGAGGCTCAGCCTTTAATCCCAGCACTTGGGAGGCAGAGGCTGGTTGATCTCTGTGAGTTTGAAGCAGCCTGGTCTACAGAATGAGTTCCAGGACAAGCAGGGTTACATAGTAAACCGTGTCTCAAACAAAACAAAATAAGCAAATAAACAAATCACAGGTTTGACAGCATAAGTCATCAATTCTAATTCTTATTTGTCTCACAAGAAATGCTACATATTTTGGGGGGGAGCTGGAAGCAGAGTTGTTCAGGTCTCAAATGAAACTTCTTGAATCCCATTAAATAAAAAAAGTATGCCTACATCCTGAAAAGAGATGCATGTATACAAAGCTATAGAAGAAAGTAAAAACTATAGTTTTTAAACATATGTCTACACTCTAAATACACAAAGAAGGTTTTTTGAAACATTTTAGCTACTTCTGACATTTACAAATCATATAAGTTCTTGGAAGGTAGTAATATCAAGAATTCATTTTTAAAATGATACTGACTTTCAACAGAAGTAGAGAAAAATCCCTTGAAGTCATACACAAATCTTTTACTATCAGCTGACAAGCACTCAGAGCTTCAAAGTATAAAACCATTTAAAAATCATGCTGAACCCAATTCACATACAATCCTTTAAATAAAAAAAAAAAAAAAAAAAATTCCTGGTCCAGGCATGTTGGGGCACACCTCTGTCCCAGCATTCAGGAAATAGAAATAGGCAGATCTCTGTGAATTCGAATTTGAGGCAACCTGGTATACACAGAAACTTCCAGGTCAGCCACGGCTACCTAGTGAGACCTTGCCTCTAAAAACATAAATGAATGAATGAATAAGTAATAAACTCCTAAGTCAAAAGTTGACCGTGAATTTTATGTCAGTATGTTTTCAAAGTACGTATAGTTTTGGTCTCTGCTCGTGACTACTGAGAGATGGTGGACCCTTTATGAAGTAAGGCCTACTTAAGAGAGAGCAAGATTACCAAGGGCTCACTCTTGAAGAAACTTCTCATAGCCCCTACAACAACCTGTTTTGCATCTCCCTCTTTTTAAATTTACTTTACTTCACCATGTGAATGTTTTGCTTGAATGTATGTATGTGTACCATGTGAATTCCTAGCGCCTGGGAGGCCAGAAGAGGGTACTGGATTCCTTGGAACTGGAGTCACTAAAGCTGTGAGGCACCACTCAGGAGCTGGGAACCAAACCTGGGTCCTCTGCAGGAGCAACAAGCGCTCTTGACCACTAAGCCATCTCCCCAGCCCCTGATTTGCTTTTTGACTGCTAAAAGGGAAGTGGCTTCTTTTGCCAATGTTCCCACCACACTGCTGCCTTGCCAGAGGCCAAAGAGCAATGGGACAACTGATCAGAGCTGAAACAACCCAAACTAAATCAAAACAAACTTTTATTTCCTCTGAATTGATTGTCTTATTTTGTCAGTGACAGAAAATCAACTCTCACACTTTAACTTTTTAATCCTTTTCAGTCTAGGAAAAGTTTATACATAAGATCACACACAAAGACAAACAATTTATTCTTACATCTTTTGAAGAACCTGGGACATCACAACACCATTGGTTAAATCTTCCACAGTCTGGCATGGTGTATCCACATTAAAGGTCTGGATCTGAAGAAAAAAAAGATCTAATGGTTAACTTTATTAAGATTTTTAAGGTTTTTAATACATGTGTGATCATCTCATCTTGGGGACTGAAATAAATTTAAACAACAATCATAAAGGAGAAACTGGTGGATATTGGCTGACTTCTCCTCACACTACTCACAGGTGACAGCCTAAGAAGATGATGGCCCCTCAATGCCTCCACCAGAGATGGCCGACTCAAGAATAAAAGGGCAAGGACAGTATGGGCCAAAGAGATATTTGTTGGACAGCGGAGTCAATTTCCTATTAATGTGAACTTTTGTGTTGTGTCAACTGCTGTAGCAATCATAACAACTTAGGGGAATGTGAGTTCATGTGTAAGTGCAGGTGTCTGTGGCACAATATACATACGCATATGAAGGTCAGTGTAGAAATTGGTTCTCTCCTACCATGTGAGTCCATAGGGCTGAACTCAGATCATGACACTTGGTGACAGGCACCTTTACTAAGCCACGTTACCAGACCAGAAATAAGTCTCAAGGGCTATGTAATGGGCAATGGAAAAGAGTGAGGAGGGATACAAAGAACTAAGTTTTTGGGAGAAATTTTAACCACTGAACTTAAAAGATATGGAATCTCCTATTGTGTAGAGTGAATTTATCACTTAAGCCTAGACAGGTTGAGATTTCTTGTACTCAAAGGCAAACAAAACAAAACAAAACAAAACAAAAAAACAAAACAAAACAAAAACAACCTTTAAATGGATGCTGAATTCATACCATCATATTATCATCATTAGGTTGGATACTCAATTAATTTCATCTTCAAACTTATACTGAAATCACAATTAACTTTGTATTCATTAAGAGTAATTTAAATGAACCCAAGCAGGGTTTAGGACACACACCTGTAATTCTAGCACTTGAAAAGTGAAGGCAGAAGTTCAGGGGTTCAAGGCCACCTGAGACCAAAAAAGAAAAAAAGAACTGTAGCCAAAAATGATAACCAGTAGTCCAACCTGGACTTAAAAGGAAATAAATCCCTGAGGATAGACAGATAAAGGTCATCCTGATACAGATCTTTTACTTTGGTAAAAGTACTATGGGATGTATGAACAAAGATTTCAACCGAGAACATAATATGTTGTGCAGATGAAAATAAGCCTGATGTGGAGAGGTGGAAAGTATAGGAAGAAACGGAACAGGGAGGAATTTTTAAAAATGTGAAAGATAGAACTAAAGAAACAAGTATCATTAGGCAAGCCTGTTTAAGCCACACTGGAATTTATCCTAAGAGTAAATGGTAGTTTGTAAGTAAAAGATTTCAAGGCGGAAAGTGAGACCCAAACTGCAAAAACAAACGGGACGCATTATGAAGGGAACACTGGAGGGAAAGAGGCAGAAAACCAGCTCTACAGTCTATAGCACCGACGAGGCTAAAATAGACAGCAACCATGGGAACACTGAGCTAACAACCAAGTGACCACCTATCTCTGTTGTTATTGGCTTAGGCAAAAAAGAGCCAGGTTAAAGTATATATTCATTTTAAAGTTTTTTTTTAAATACATTGTTAAATAAATCATGAAGTAATTTACTGTTATTAAAAATGGGTGAATATCTGTTTCTCTGCACCATACTATCCATAAAAGTCAGAGCCCAGGCTCCCTCCAACATTATGTATCAGAGGTCATGGTGACCTTGAGCTCCTGATTCTCCTGCCTCCACTCCTAAGTGCTGAAAGGAAAAACTATTAATAGTACAGTTAAAACTTCCTATTTTACATAGGGCAGGAGTCTTCCAGGTAATGATGGTTATGATAACAGAGGCAGAGGGCCTTATGTCAAAGGCCTTTATAGAAAGTAGTTTTTTATTTTTTGAGACAGGGTTTCTCTGTGTAGTCTGGCTGTCCTGGAACTCACTCTGTAGACCAGGCTGGCCTCAAACTCTCAGAAATATCCACCTGCCTCTGCTTCCCTGAGTGCAGAGATTACAGGCATGCACCAGAACACTCTGCACCGCATCTCTTTCAATATCAGTTTTTTCCACATAAAGATTGGGAGGGTATTAATATTATTAGTTTCCAAACCTACGTGTACATTAAATCATCTGGAAAGTTTACATTTTGACTAAGTTTCATTTCTTAGCTCCACAAAGTGTACTACAATTTTAGCTTAATACTAGAATACTCGCCTTGCATGGACAAGGCCCTGAGTTCCATTCCCAGCTTGGGGTAAGAACTAAACTAACTGTGTGTGTGTGTGTGTGTGTGTGTGTGTGTGTACTGAACCCAGAGCTTTGCACATGCTAGCTAAAAACTCTACTACTGAGCTATATCCCACCTCTCTTAAAGTCAGACATTTCTTTTTCTTTTTTTAATTTAGTGTAGAAATATTTTATACACATATGTCTATGCACTATGTGCAGGCAGAGCTCTTAGAGGCCATCATCTCTCTTGAAACTGGAGACAGCTGTGAGCTGCCATGTGGGTGCTGGGAATTGACCCCGTGTACTCTGGAAGACCATCCAGTACTCTTAACTGCTGAACAACCTTTCCTGCCTTTTAGAGTCTTGCTAAGCAAGGGTGAACTCACTCTGTAGTTTCTACAAATTTTTCACTTGCAATCCTCCTGCCTCAGCCTCCTGAGTAGATGAGATTACAGATCTGTGCAAGTAAATTAACCTGTTAATCTATTTTAATACATATATCAAATAAATTTTATGTACGTGGGCACTAATTTTAGCATGTGGAAACCTCCAAAGTACTGCCAAAGTTAAGGAATTCAAGTTCTTACCCTCCTACCCAAGCTGGGAATGGAACTCAGGGCCTTGTACATGCAAAGCAAGTGTTCTAGTATTGAGTTACATTCCTACTTTGGATTACAAAATTGCCCCTAGTCAATCAGAAGAAAACTCGATAAAACAAATAGCTTTATTTCTTATTTTTATTTACTTGTTGTATTTTGAGATAGAGTTTCATGTATCTGAGGCTAGCCTGGGACTCGCTATTAAAGACGAGGATGACCTGGGATGACCTTAGATGCCCCAGGCCTCTTGCTTCCACCTTCTCGTTGGGAGAGTTAGAGGTTAGAGGTGGGCTGCTGAGATTACAGGTGTGCACCACCACGGCTGCTTACACATTGCTAACACAAGGCTTTGGCAAATGAGGCAGCACTCTACAGACTGGCTACATGCTTACCCAAAGCAAAGATTTTAAAGGAAGAGTAATCTGGGGGTGCCGTTCCTTCCTCCCCAACCCTCAACTTTAGGACTCAGAGCTAAATTTTCATTTTGATTTAAACAATTATTCTCTGCTTTAGCCCTTCAGGTACATAGGTACTTATGAGAACTTGAGAACAGTTACCTCTGCTTTCGGAACTGACAGATAATCTCAATTAAGAAATAAAGTTCTCACCCTATCAGGTCTGAGTTGCGATAGTAACTCAGGATAGTAATACAGTAAATAACACTGCACTTAACTACGTTAAACCACAAATTCTATCTGAAGGGTCACAATTTTTCTTGTTATTTCAAGAAGCTCTGAGAACACATTCCAACCTCCCCCTGCAAAAGCACCAGAAAAGTAAGGCATGAGATCACATTGGACCAGCAACTGTAGGCAGCACTTCTCCAATCAGGGTGATTATGCTTCCTAGGAAAGTCTGCAATAGTAAACTAAGAACTATTGTCTTGTGAGCAGAGAAGAGCAATGCTTCCACCAAATACCCTAAAACACAGAACAATGCTACCAACAAATATCAACCAGCAGTAAGCTTATAGCTCTGCTCCAAAGCAATGGTTCTAAAATGCTGTCTTGAGGTTACTAACTACACATTGCCTGGGAATATTCAGAAATGCAAATCTCAGATCCTGTCCCAGACCTAGAAATTCTAGCCCGAGGGCCTAGTAAACTGGTTTGATAAGGGTTCCAGGTGATGCTGATCAATGATAATGTCTGAGATCCACTGCTGGAGCCGGCAACCACCATGCTACTCGGACTCCCCCAGTGCATTAAACCTTTGTATTTGGGAAATTTCTTTATTCTCCCATTAGAGAAGTAAATCTATTGGCAGGAGTTAGAAAAAGGAAGAAAAATAGAATGGGAGGGATTCTCAACACTAGCTGCATTCCATAGGCTCCCAAATAAGTAATAGGAAAATAAGGACACCTAGAGATCACTGCGTTTCACAGCAATGAACCACATCTGCGATTCCTTCCCCACTAATTTCTTGTTATTTTCTGAGCACAGTCTAGATTCTTTCTTCTCAAATATGTTTTGAAGCTAAGTATATGTGTGTGAATGTTTTGCCTGCATAGATGTATGTGCTACATATGCGTGCCTGGTGCCCGCAGAGGTTAGAACAGGGTAATGGATCACCTGCAACTGAGGCTGTGGATGGTTTTGAGATACTGTTTGGTACAAGGGACCAAATCAGGGTCCTCTGCAAGGGTATCAGATCCTGTGGAATGGGGGCTATGGAAAGTTTTGAGCCACTGTGTGGGTTCTAGGAACCAAATCAGGGTCCTCTGCAGGGACAACAGATACTCTTAACTGTGGAGCTCTCTCCAGCCCCTCTAGATTCTTTCTTATGTTCCAGTTTCTTGGGTAACTGGCTAGAATTATATAGCTCAGTTACATAGTACAAGCACAAAGCCCCAGCAATAATCCTCAGCACTACACAACAAACAAATTAATTACTAAGACCTGGGAGAGTACAACCTTTTCATCATGATTCATACAGAGTTCAAGAAACTGGGCTAGGCAATACCAGATTGGGTTACCCCTCTTTCAGCTACTAATCATGGGGGGGGGGGATCCCATGAATCCATAAAACAATACAGGCTACTGTCACTGGGACTAAGACCTTATTACTAAAGACACCACATTCTTAAGTCATAGGACGTGTAAAAATCAAGCTGGTATTGGAAGCTTCATCCCGACTGACTAGCTTTCATCATGCACAATGGTGTTATGCAGGCTGCTGTGAGAGAAAACTGATGAACAGTCTTACCCAGCTGTGAACTCTGTGAGCTACAATGACAAATGGACTGACAAGTATATGCCCAATGGTATAACTGTTTTGGGAGTGAGCAATTACCTTCTGATTGGATCTAAGGCCCACTCCACAAGCCAGAATTCATGCTTTGTGTTGTGACTGGGCCAAAAGCACACACTGGGTAGGTCACAGAGTCTAGGAGGGAAGCTAATATGACTTTGGTAAATGGACATAGCATTAAACTGCCTTCTAAATACTTACCTTTATACCCAAAGAATAGGGAGCTCCTAACCCTCATCAGAGAAGCCTATTTCTTCAGGACAACCGTTATGGAAGGTACAGAGAATAAAACTGTGGAGTAATCAACCCTAAATGGGACATCTAATTCACAGCTCTTTCTCCTAAGACTCAAGAGATCATTGCAGAAGAGGGGGCAGAATGACTCCAGGAGCCAGAAGTTGTGGAGAATGTCTGCAGAAAAGTGTTTAATGGATATGACAGGGATGGTGTACATAAGAACTCACAATGGCTGTGCTGTGGCTGTGTGCCTAAGACCTGAACAAGATCAAGTTAGCCAAAAACCTAGAATGAATGGAGGTCATATTGTGGAGAAGCTACTGGCAGTTGATAGCTGCTGGAGGAGAGTCAGTCTGTTTTCTTCAGGGGTGCAGTCCCAGGGAAGTTATTCATGCTCCAGTAGATGGTCCTATACAGACATACATATACTGACAGCACTAAATGGACTCAATTGCTTAAAAAGAAAACACACACACACACACACACACACACACACACAAAACAAAAAGCAGGTATATGAACTTGGGAGGGACAAGTGATGATGCAATACAGGAGGAGCTGGAGGAGAGGAGTAAACCTAATCAAAACACATTTATATATAAATGAAATTCTCAAATAAAAATATATTTTTATATATTTATTTAAATAGCAAACAGTAAGAGAGAACTGACTCCTCTATGTTATTCAATGCCCTGCAACACAAAAGGGCTGTGATACAGTTATGTGTGCACCCCACACAAATAAATACACATTAAAAAAAAGATCATTGTTAAAAAAATCAGAAAACTAAACAGGCTGTCTGAGATAGCTCAGTGGGTGAGGGTGCTTACCACACCAGTCTGCTGACCTGAGACCTGAGCTTCTTGCTTGGGAAACACCGAAAGGCACCAGTTCCAAAAAAGGTGACTCCTGACCTCCATATGCACGTGGTAGCAACTATGCCTATACGCACACATCACAGTCACACACGGTAAATTTCTCAAAAGGGACTGACAGATGTAACAGCACAGTTTCCTCCCCCCACCCCCAACAGGCAGGAATACATTTTTGCTTCAGGGGTTGGAAGAGGAGCCAAGGGGTAATTTTCAAGCACATTCTGCTGAGCTTGCTTGTTATATACTGACTGGGCCTGACACATTTTTTCATCTTTTTAAACATTTTCCTGGTTTAAATAACAAATTGAAACGTGGCAGAGGCTTAGCTACATTGTGCAACCGATCACCACTCTTTATTTGAAGCATAGCAGTGAAGCTTATCTTCTTGCTTGAAGCTAAAACTTATAGAGTATGTTAACTATGCATTATTGTCAACGATCTGAAATTACAAGGATGATCTAATACAAAACCAAACCATAAAGCTCAGCACTTTATAAAGTCCATGTTTCAAAAGACATAATCAGATTCACGATATACCCAAATTATAAAATACTTCAAGCTGGGTGTAGTGATGCAGGCTTGTAATTCTAGCACTCAGGAAGATGAGGCAGGAAGACTGCTACAAATTCAAGATCATCGTCTGAGGCCAAAATGGGCTACACAGCAAGATCCTACCTCAAATGCACACACATCTTTAGGTTCTACTTCTATTACATTTATTACAACCAACCCAAACTAATACTTCTCAGCGTCTCAGCAGTGTCCCTACACAGAACAGTGATAGCCAGCAACCAGAGATCTGAACCTCTAACCTAAGACACTGTTCAATAGAATTTCTGTTGCTATTTGCATTTTACCTTTAAAGTGAATAAAAGGGAGAGATGAATAGCTTGGCGGTAAAGCCTTCACTTACAGTGCAGGAGGCCCAGTTACCACCATCTCCCCAATATGCAAACAAAATTTACACGTGTCACAGTAGCCTCTGTCAATGTATCCGTGTTCTTCTAAAAAGAACACATTTTTAGCAATAATTAAAGCGAGCGTTCCCAACAGGACACTTGGTTTGTTCCACGGTTTGGCATATTCCTGTACCCACCTCCACCAGCGCATGAACAACAGAAACAAACACGGTTAACTACCCAGCTATTGAAAAGAGCTGCCTAAGCCGTGACTCTTGACATTAAAACCCAGCATATTTACTTAAAAATTGGATAACCTTAACCCTTATCAATTCCAGATTAGAATCTCAATCTGGATTTTAAAGTGTGTTTTAGTTCCATTACTAAATCCCTAAATCCTTCCAGTTCAAAATCTTTATCCTTGATTCCTTTGATAAGTACCATCACGCCGTTTACTTCGTAACAGTCAAAATGCATCTCGAATTTCAAATGTTCTGCCTCTGTGCGAGTCTTCACGTTTTGTCTACCCACCCTCCAACGTACTATTTTCCAATGGGCAGGGCTTCATCCCTCAAGGGGATCCTGGCTGAACGCTACAACAAAGGCGAGAGGCATCGTTACCAGGGGTCCCGAGTGCCTCTACCGGGCGCCCAGGCAGAACTGACGCTTTGGATCACTGGGAGCTTGGGAGTGAAGCGCCAGCGCCTCAGCAAGGCAAACAGTCCTAATTACAGTGTCGCCTGCACCCCATCATTAGCCCCCAACCGGGCAGGTTTCCTCTCGGACAGCAGCCAACGTCTCAGGCCGGACAAGTTCCTCCTGGACCATGGGCCCAGCCTGCCTGAGCCCGGCCGCTCCCTGCTGACCCTGACCCGGCCGCGGGTGTAGACGCGGCCCGCACGGGCTCTTCAGCTCCGCCCGTCCCAAGCCCCGGATGTGACGGCAGATCGCCCCGGGAGCTCGCCCCCGGGACCGGCACCGGTGTCCGCGAAAGGCTGCGGAGTTCCTCCACCGGCCCGCTTGCTCACCACGTACCCAAGTGAGCAGGCTCTCGCACAGCTCCACCCGCTCCACGGACTCCACGTTAAACATCTTCCCGAGGTGGCGGCGGAGCCTCCCCAACCGACCAGAAGCCGCGGCTGCTCCGCTCGGGGTTGAGTCCGAAGGGTCGGGCAGCCGACCGGCGTGTGGCGAACCTTCTCTTCCGTCCGGCCGCTCCCCGGGCGCGGACGCTGGCAGTCAGTGGCTCCGCACTGTCACCGGCCCCTCCTTCCCTCGCTCGGGGCCGCGCGCTCCCTGCGCGCGCGCGCACCGGGCGCCGCCAGCCCACGCCCTCCTGCGCGAGCGCAGCCAGGCGCGAGCCG